GGGGTGCTGGGCTGAGCTTAGCAGGGCCCTGGGGTGCTGGGCTGAGCTTAACAGGGCCCTGGGGTGCTGGGCTGAGCTTAACAGTGTTCTGGGGTGCTGGGCTGAGCTTAACAGTGTTCTGGGGTGCTGGGTTGAGCTTGGCAGGGCCCTGGGGTGCTGGGCTGAGCTTAACAGGAATGTCCCGGGGTGCTGGGCTGAGCTTAGCAGGAATGTCCCGGGGTGCTGGGCTGAGCTTAACAGGAATGTCCTGGGGTGCTGGGCTGAGCTTAACAGGAATGTCCTGGGGTGCTGGGCTGAGCTTAACAGGGCCCTGGGTGCTGGGCTGAGCTTAACAGGAATGTCCTGGAGTGCTGGGCTGAGCTTAACAGGAATGTCCTGGGGTGCTGGGCTGAGCTTAACAGGAATGTCCTGGGGTGCTGGGCTGAGCTTAACAGGAATGTCCTGGAGTGCTGGGCTGAGCTTAGCAGGAATGTCCTGGAGTGCTGGGTTGAGCTTAACAGGAATGTCCTGGAGTGCTGGGTTGAGCTTAACAGGAATGTCCTGGAGTGCTGGGTTGAGCTTAACAGGGCCCTGGGGTGCTGGGCTGAGCTTAACAGGGCCCCAGGTGCTGGGCTGAGCTTAACAGGGCCCTGGGGTGCTGGGCTGAGCTTGGCAGGGCCCCGGGGTCACCCGGCCTGGTTGAACCGGCCCAACCAGCCCGAGCTGGGCAGGAATATCCCGGGAGAAATGTCCCAAGAGAAATGTCCCGGGAGAAATGGCCCAGGCAGGAATATCCTGGGAGAAATGGGCTGGACAGGAATATCCTGGGAGAAATGGTCCAGGAGATATGTCCCGGGAGGAATGTCCCAGGAGAAGTGCCCCTGTCGATATCTCCACACCGGCAGCTCCAAAAAAACGTGGCTCCGCGGGGCTGGGGCGGGGGAAGGTCGGGAGGAGGAGGAGGAGGAGCTGGAGGTGATGCAGTGGGGACGATGATGCCATGGGGACAGCGGGACAGAGCTCCGTGACAGAGAGACAGAACTGGGAATGGCCCGGGGGGACAGCGGGAGTGAGTGCGGGACTGGGATTGGGATTGGGGGATTGGGATTGGGAATATGGGATTGGGATTGGGAATGGGGGAAGGTCGGGAGGAGGAGGAGGAGCTGGAGGTGATGCAATGGGGACAGCGGGACAGAGCTCCGGGACAGAGACAGAGACAGAGACAGAGACAGAGCTGCACGGGGAATGGCCCGGGGGGACAGCGGGAGTGAGTGCGGGATTGGGATTGGGATTATGGAATTGGGAATGGGAATGTGGGATTGGGAATGTGGGATTGAGATTGGGAA